GTGCGAACTGCATTCGCAAAATTCAATATTTCACAACTTGTTCTTCCAAGTGGAGCAGAGTGATGTAACAGTTTTAACATTAAATTTGCAACAATAGTTGCACTTGACAAAGCTAGCTAAAACAAATATCGAGTAGTAGATATTCATGGAGGTTCCATTGTACTGTGAGATATGCAACGAAAAAAAACATTGAGCGGTAGGCAACGGCTTGGCTAGGCCATAAGGCCCTGTACTTATCGACTATCGTTAGTACGGGTATTGGCATAAAAATCGGATGGTGTCCCTGCGTAATCTTATGAGACTGTTTTCACTAACTACGACCATGGTATTTTCACATTGTGATTTGTCTTGTAAGCTGGTGCAAGCCGTGTCCCAAGATTCTAAAAGACGTTACAAATACTACGCTTAGTTGAGCGTAAGTTCGTTGATATTGGTTAATGTTTCGTAAAAATACAAAAATCATTGTTTACTAATAAAAATATTACGAAAACTATGGTTGATGGTTGAAATAGATGATCTTGTTAAACTATTACTAATTATCTGTTCAGAGTGATGAGAGATTTCATCATGTTCTTCTTTACGCTTGAGTTTATTTCTTAGTTTGTTCTTAGCCTAACCAATCGATATACAAAGTTTGCAAATCACATAACGCCGGTAGCGTAATAAGTGACAACGATAAGATGAAACTTGATGTCAGCCAGTACTGTCGTCATTTTACAAATCTATATCTCAGATTAACTATAACCTTAGGTTCGGGATAGAACATATATTATGCAATTTAAACTTCGACTGATTATTCCGTGATGGGTTTTTCAGGCCACATTGTCCTACAAGACAGACTGTTAGTCAGTGGATGATAGCTTGGGAGATAGTGCTATGGAAAAAATCAAATTGAGAAGTTTGCATTTTTAATGTAATTCCTCCTGATTTCATACGCTCAAAGATAAATTAGTGTATCATCTACGCGCTCTAACTATTGTTCATTGATGTTTCTAAATTATAAGCTTTGCTTTTTTGTTTTGTTTTGGCGAGTTAATGCTCATCACCTCGCTCACCTGCCCACCTCATATTACGTGGTATCTGAAGACATCATAACGTAAATGCCGCCACTTACCGTAAAACTTAAGCTCGAAATCTCAATTGTAGTATTTCAAAATATATCTCTGGAATCTGTATCCAAATCGAACATTCAACTATGTTACCGATTATCACAATATACGTAAGTTTATTAAATAAATAAACAAAATTGAAAAAAAGCCGCGATTAAAATCTATATTTGGTACTTGAATTTCGTTAATTTATTTCCGCTTATTACGTTACACGCAGAGAACAAATGATATGGCTTTTGGTTCATATTGCATTAATTTTTATTATTTAGCAATAATTGAAGTCTTACGGCCAAAAGTAGAAAGTGGTTTTAGAAGCACGCGTGGCCGATGTCTTCGCTCGAGTGTCTACCATGCAAGAGACTGGGCTGTGGTCGAGACAGGACACATACGGACCACAATATTTTCTGAATCAATATTTTCAGCCCACCGAGTTTCTCGCCGGATGTCCTCAATGGGTCGCGATTCCGATCTGTTTTTTTTTCTTCCTACCTAAGCTGAGAGCCTTGAGAGGCTATTTCAGCGTAACCTTAACTAGTATGTGAGCTCACGGGGCTCAAACCTGACGATGTGAATGTCCGAGTGTGATGGTGACCACGACCCTATAAAAATCTGGTGGTTAGGTATGTTTTGGGCCGTATGACCCATCGCTTGTATACCTCGAGTAACTACAACGGATATTTCTATTTCTGTAGCGGATCGTAACGAAAATGTAGTTTGGAACAAAAAATATTATTCTAAATTGATAAACAGCTTAACAATAAACGTAATTAAGTCGTCAAGTCTGAATAAATGTTACATCGATTAATATTGTCCGCGTTGATTATTAAAGACAAACAACAGCAATAGCGTAACATCCGTGTTATTTTTTTTACCTGTTCGCTGGTAGCCTAAGAGGCTATTTCAGCTACCCCCGGACCACCACCCTGCCTATTTCTGCCGTGAAGCAGTAATGCGTTTCGGTTTGAAGGGTGGGGTAGCCGTTGTAACTATACTAGAGTCTTTAGAACTTATATCTCAAGGTGGGTGGCGCATTTACGTTGTAGATGTCTATGGGCTCCAGTAACCACTTAACACCAGGTGGGCTGTGAGCTAGTACACACAACAGCTATAAAATAAATAAATAAATTGTACCCGCTTCAGGCTTGCATCTCTCGATATCAGTATACGAGGTATCATGCCTATTAGGTCACAGACGCTTCTTAATAGTTCATTAAGGATTAATTTACTAGGTAAGTCACTTGTATACTTGAAAATATAATTGAAGTACCACAAATACCACAAAGAACACGCTTTGCATGAAACAAGGCACTTATCACCCGAACTATCTTTGTCGAGTTATTATGTGTACGTGCTCATTGATCGATGACGTCATAAGTTGTGTTTATTTTAAAATAAATTGTAAAGAATCTATTCAAAACTTGTGGAAGATTGGATCAATAAAATGAGGTCATCGCTGAGTAAATCCTTAATGTTTTTCTCTCTCTGAGATTCATTAAGCAAGACATTTTAAACAGACTATAACAAATTCTGCCCACTACATATAGTCAATGTGCTTAAATATGATTGCATCAAACATTCCTCAGTTCTAAGGCAACATATTCTCGTAGCATTCAGTCTGATACATTACTACCCGCTATATAAATGTACTTATCACAATACCGAAGACGCCCATAGACACACAGCCCACTGAGTTTCTCGGTCGCGATTGCGATCTAATGGTAGATTCTGGGAAAGCACTGCTCTTGCTAGGGCTAGTGTTAGCAAATTCTCTCAGGTTGAGCGTGACCGTGAGCTCACCTACCCGTCCGGGGATAGATGGAATAACCTCTTAGACTACCGGCGAATAGGTAGGGAATAAAAAAACCTAAGACATACGAACATGACATTTTGAAGTCGTCGTGGCCTAACGGATGAGATGTTCGGCGCATTCGTGTTGAGCGATGCACCGGTGTTCGAATCTCAGGCGGATACCAATTCTAATGAAATACGTACTCAACAAATGTTCACGATTGACTTCCACGGTGAAGGAATAACATCGTGTAATAAAAACCAAACCCGCAAAATAATAATTTGCGGAATTAGTGGTGGTAGGACCTCTTGTGTATCCGCGCAGGTGTACCACCACCCCGCCTATTTCTGCCGTGAAGCAGTAATGCGTTTCGGTTTGAAGGGTGGAGCAGCCGTTGTAACTATACTTGAAACCTTAGAACTTATATCTCAAGGTGGTTGGTGCATTTACGTTGCGGATGTCTATAGGCTCCAGTAACCACTTAACACTTGGTGGGCTGTGAGCTCGTCCGCCCATCTAAGCAATAAAAAAAACATGCTCTGTGAATGAATGAAAATCGGTTGTTCGTGTTCACTTTTTGTCTATAACCGGTCTTACATAAACACTGAAATGCACAGAGTGCAATTAGCGGCTATGTTTATCTATCCACTGCCTGTTTCTTTGACCTAGTCTTTGACAGCGTAAGGCCAAACAACTGCTTAGAATATGATAAGAAACTTATCTTTTTCCGAGTCGCAGCATATTACATATCCATCCTTTAATATGTAACGAAAAAACCTTTCGCCTCTCTTTAAGTAAGTACAATGCGTACACGAAGGAGTGTGTGATTGGACATAGTTAAAAATATAAGGTTAATGCTATATACTTTAATCTAAAGTTTGGTGCTTGAGAGATGCAATGTCCACTCACCAACTTTCCAACATAGAAATTCTATGTTAGTTGCGTCTTTACAAATCTTATGTCATACGCAAAACAATGGTGGGTCTCGTTCGAAGCGTAGGATAATCGTTGTGCTGATGAGAGTATGTACTACCTACATGGATTAGACATAATAATATGATGTGATAGATGCATTGGCATCATGTTATGACTTAATTTTCATAAAAGGGTAATTCCGTCTAAACAATAATGCTTCTGCTTCTTCGTAGTTTGCAGACTGACGTAAAACTTTACCAGCGTCTCATCACTCCCAAAGTGAATGCAAAAAATGCAATTGAAAATCTTTTTAATTAAGCATTGCCGACGATGAATTATTACTTTTAACCACAAACTCTAGTCGAAAAAAGTTCCGGAAAAGGATAAATAATAATAATCCACATTATATGACTTGTGGTTTTGTGTTATTAAGCGCGAATGAATTGCTGTGTTCAAACATAGATATTACGTGGCTCTATTGTTTGTTTGAAATAATTATAACATAATTATTGTATGTAAATATTATATTATAACACTTTGATATAGTCTTGCGTATTGCCGCATCTCGTAAACATAAGCTTGTTTATCTTTCTATATTTCTAATCAAATTAGGTTTTTCAATGCCATGTAGTTCAACTTCATGTCGAGTTGTCGTGGATCAACGTCCACGTGAACATCCTCTGTTTGCCTAAGCCAATGTAATTATAGAATTTACCAGACGTTTGGATATGATTGGTATCGACCAGGCTATCTAACCTGCCGGCGCACCAGATCAAAGATCAATAGAGCCTATAGACAACAGCCTAAAGTCCACATCGAGATTAAATATTGAAGATTGCTCTGGTAACAAGTTAACATCAGTGCAGGGAGTTCCATCACAAAACTTACAAATCCGAGTTTAAAAAAAATATTTTTTTTTTTGTTATCATAAAGAAAAAAAAGAAAAAGAAAAAAACAGTATGTATGTTCCAAATTCCAAGGTGCCACCGGGTTAGAAATACGAACAAATATAAAATGGCCACTGACTTTAAGGCAGCTTCTTCGTCTATCTCACAATATCTAATTACGTGTATAACTTGTGAAAACTGATGAAAAACCGAATTTTATCAACGTAATCCTACGTAAAGATTAGACTAGGAAATAAATATTAATGAAATGTATAAGTGATGTCAAATATTTGTTTTCAGGTGAAGGACATCGACTCGGAGAGCCAGCACTCCGTCCGAGCCCCCGACAACAATTTAGAAGAGAAACTGTGAGTTAATTTAACTATAACTATACGCTTAGACTTCTAACTAACTATATCTGACAGTAGTATTAGCAGAACCACAGTAGCGAACACTCAAGATCTAGGGCGACGTCTATGTTCCACGGGGAGTGTATGAGCAGAATTACTTGAGATGATACCTTCTTGTTATCACTGCGTCACTCACCAGCGGAACATAATTCATCCATACTACCAATAATCATAACGCTCTTACTCTTTCCGAGATAATTTCTGTCATGTGCTATACATTATAGAATGAACTCTTCTTTTCGTTGTTTCTTAAGTGCTACGATGTCATTTGTCAAATGTCATCATCTTCAGGCCTTACAGCCCAGGGTAAGCCTTAGCCTGGTCCAGTATGTCTCTCCAGACTGCTCTGTTCAGGGCTTTCTCCTTCCAGTTTCTGACACCGATAGCTTTGAGGTCGTACTATACGCCATCTAAACATCAGAGTTTAGGTCTGCCACGACTTCTGCGGCCCTCTGGTTAGCCATATAGTAGTTGTCTTGGCATTGTGGTCTCCTCCATTCGAACTACATGTCCTGCCCATCGTAGGCGTCCAATTATTATTTATCAAATGTAGAGAGTCTTTTATGGTAGCGGCTTGCCTAGGTGACTGGTATTGCTGATGTCCATGAACGATAGTGACATTTCATTGTCTGGTAACGTGGTTAATAATTACACGATGCTAGTGGTACATTGAACAGCCACCGACGGCATAGGGAGTATTTGTTTCAACCTCGTGCTTTAAATCCCGAAAGCAATTACCAACTTTTCTCAGACACGTATTAAAAACAACTTTTGCAATGAAATAATAGCTTCATAGAATAAAAATTCACACCGCAAAATTATTAGCGCGGTTACGACTGGTGGGGCGATACGTCCCGTTTCAAGCTAATTCAGGCGCGTCTGAAAAGATTTCGCTACGTAGACAATTGCAAATTTCTACACGAAGCAAGCGACAGATAACCAAACAGACATCGAACCAGAATAAATCTTTAATTAAGCGTACAAAAGTACCGTTAAATTGTCGTTCGGCGCTAATAATTACACCATCGATCCTTGCGATACAGTAGGTAGGTAATGCAATAAAATAATACGTTACGAAATGATGTGAGCACGCGTTGCTCTGTAGAAATATCGTTCGGAAAAGAAAGGTTCTTGTCAATGTTTCCAACTTATATTGTTATTTCGAAAATCGTGTGCAGTTGGCATTATTGGCCTCTCTCTGTGGCTCGAAAGTCATAAGCATTTTAAAATCTCGAGTGGAGAAGTAGTGGCGCTTTGACTGCAACTTCTGTACGTATGAAATACGCAAAGTTTCAGGTTTCAATCTCTCTGTTAATGACCGACAGCAACGTATCTACATTTCTCAGTCTAGTTTCTGTTCATTGCTAGTTAAGGACGCTTTTCGATGTCGCAATAAATTTATTAGCAGTGTAATTTTTTAATAGTTTTAAAAATAGCTTTTTGAAGTTATACTTCTTAAGGCGCGTTATAAAAAATTTATGAGAGTGAAATTTTACGATGCGCGCGCACCGTGACACAAAATTAACAGAAATGAAGTTGCCCACAAGTGCCCCAATACAATTGAGGTTAACTATCCGTATGTATTATTTAGTAATATAAATGACAAAATTATTATTTAATATAGTTCATACTAAATATTATTAAATTATTAACGTTAAATATTTATTATTAAGTATTTAATATTAAAAAAAAAAGAAATAAATTTAATAAAAATAAAGTATAACTTCTTACGCGCGTACATAAGTACACGCACCCTTTTTTTTGTTTCCTTTAAACGTTTTAAAAGCTGCAAATCTGCGACCACGAAATGTGTCAATTTTCGAAAAGTTGCAGATTGTTACCCAAAAACAATAATAATATAAATTAACAAAATATCAGCTGTTTGTAATGGTCTTAATACCTCGTTGGTAGAGAGATTAATGGCCATGAATATTATAACATGGAGTCCGGTTTCGCAATCAGAATGTTTGCGGAAGATTTTTGTAAATTTGGTATTCTGTGTTAGGGTTGCATCTACTTGTTTTTACCTGCTCTGTTTCCGATCACATAATACGCGAGAAAATGTGACACATTTTTGATTCAGTGTGCTTAGTGCGCGTTTTTTAACGCTCTCAATAGCGTAAAAGTTAACTCGAATTTGTATGCAGATGGAACAGCGCCCCTAGCGGCAAACGTTGCAACTCCATACAAATTTAACTTAACTTTTACGCTATCGAGAACGTTAAAAAACTCGCACTAAGCACACAGTTTTTTTTATTGCCCTTGTAGGCAGACGAGCTTACGAGCACCTGATGGTGAGTGGTTACCGTCGCCCATGGACTTCAGCAATGCCAGGGGCAGAGCCAAGCCGCTGCCTACCGAAACATGATTTACGTGATTACACTTTACATGATTTACATGATTACACGTAGTCGACAGTTTGAAAACAAAAGTAATTTCAGTTCAGCTTGATATTCTGATCTGTGTTTACTTTTAATCGTGACAAAACCACTCGACACAGAATCCATTGCGGTAATAATTATATAACGAAGATGCATCAAGACGATGGCTGAAACACTGCGGTTGCAATCCTTTACTTCCTATGTTTATTATTTATAAGTCTTCAATTTTACCACGATCGATAAATAACGCGGAAAACGTTAACCATTAATAAAGTGGTTATTTATTTATTTATTTACTAGCTTACTCGGCAGACTTCGTAGTGCCTCAATCGATAAATAAAAGACCTAAACTTTTAAACCTTCCCTGGGCTTTCAAAATTAGCCAAATCGTTCCGCCGTTCTCGAGTTTTAGCGAGACTAACGAATAGCAATTCATTTTTATATATATAGATTTAGACATACCGACAGCAATACACACAAAACATTTAAACTTAAAAACAAGTATAAAATTAAGTAGGTCCTGGTATGTAAGCCCGTTACAGGCATATACAGCAATCTTTTATAACACACTATGACATATTACAGCAATTTTACAAACAACGGGAAAATAGGTAAAATTTAAATGTTAACAGTACAACATAAAAAATAATAATTGAAAAGAACATGAAAACCAGAGTTAACTACTTAACATAACATTGCTATATGACAACTTGGCTCTGATTTTTAAGTGGTCAGAATCTTCTATTTTATTCCGCATCATGTTCGCTATGAAACGTGTACTGTTCAATGTTGGATGTACCACACCAAACGGACAAGTAAAGATCCTACCTCTTTTTCTTCTCTTCTTTTTCTCTTTTTATTCACTTTGTTTACGATCGCTTTGGTAACTACAGTGTATTCTTTAAGGTTTCAGAAGACAACTTCTTATACATTTAATTTCAATAATAATTGACCCAATACCTTGACCAGTGTTGTCTCAAAAAAAATATGTGTGGTGTCGTAGGACACCGGATAGGAACGAAGTTCCTTATTATAAAAATATTAATTTTAAGTTCTATTCGAGGTATAAAGAAAATAATTATTCGGGTATACATTTTTTATTATGATTTTTTTTATTGATAAAAAAAACTACTTTACAAAGTTATCAACTTTATTTAATTCACAATGATTTATAAACAATATATAATAAAAATATGTTATTTTTTGTACGTTATTACAAAGTTAAGTCGTACACTGTGTGCATTATACTAATTTGTACGTTATTACAAAGTTAAGTCGTACACAGCATTACTAATAAAAATCTTACATTACGGACGTTTTATCACTGTTACGGTACCCCTCCGCATCGTCCCATAAGGAACTTCGTTCTAAAAACCTTCAGAATAAGAGGTTCCGCGCGGATAACATAATGTTTTCTGTTAAGTTTACAATAATTATACGTTATTGTTAACGTACGTGCTTTGCAAGGCTGTAAATGCAACATCTTCGGATTAGTAATTATAAACAATGACAACTTGAGATTGCTGTCGATAATCATGAATTCTTTTGTAAATAAATTCTATCTATCTATCTGTCAGTTCACAGACGTCCAGTTCTGGATATATATTATATAGGTCTCCCCCAAGCTTCACCACAAAGATCGAAGTAGGATAGAGTAGACCGTAAAAGAGTTCATCCATACTAACTGCTTCAGTTGCGTTCTGCGTTCATCCACAGTGCGTTTCCAGATAACTTTTTTGCCACGTACCATCCGGCTATGGAATGAGCTCCCCTCCACGATGTTTCTCGAGCGCTATGACATGTCCTTCTTCAAACGAGGCTTGTGGAGAGTACTTAACGGTAGGCAGCGGCTTGGCTATGGCCCTGGCATTGCTGAAGTCCATGAGCGACGGTAACCACTCATCATCAGGTGGGCCATACGCTCGTCTGCCAAGTAGGGCAATAAAAAAATTAAAAAAAGATCAGTCTTGCGCTGCATCCAGTGGATCTCCGCGAATCTCAATAGGTCGTCGGTCCATCTTGTGGGAGGCCTACCCACGCTACGTCTTCCGGTACGCGGTCGCCACTCAAGGACTTTTCGGACCCATACGTTCTTCAAGCAATGTGCCTTGTCCACTGTCACTTCAACGTCGTAATCCTATGGGCTATGTCGGTTACCATAGTTTTCCTGCAAATCTCCGCATTTCTTATTTGATTTCGCAGAGAAACTTATTAGGGTATTAACAGGGTTAATTTAAACAACTTTACGGCTCACCTCAAATTAATTAGCTACTGCAGACCACGGGCGTCATACGGTCTTACTTTATAATGAGCATCGACTCTAATTAGTTTCGCAATAGCGTCTGTATTGTCCTTGAAGTACCAACGCGTTATGCAGCGGCATAGTCAAAATAATATCGATACGTATTACTCCTCACTCCTCATTTTTCCTCGTAATATTACTCTAGTGGGCTTCACACCCCCCTGTAAATTGTTCACATTACCACAATTAACTTCAGAAAAAGCGTATTTTTAGTCTGTCTCTAGTCACGACACGACAGATATCGTTCATTTTATGTAATAGGAAACCGATCTGTG